GCTAGATGGTGATCACTATATTCAACATTTTTATTTAATGAATCACATTGTAGGAGATCGAGGACGTATTACTGACACACCCCCTAGTGGTTGAGGCACATGTTATAAGCGCCTACGATAAAGTTTACGGAGAGGAAGTGTGCGCATGCGTGCGTCTTCGAAAAGGCGCAAGTATGAAAAAGGAGGAATTGAGAGAATACTGCAAGAGTCGTGTAGCTCGTTTTAAAATACCTCGTTATGTAGAGTTCGTAACAGAATATCCGAAAACAGCTAGCGGAAAAGTACAAAAATATAAATTGAAGCAAGAAATGGAACGAAATGGAAGAATTCCCACCAAATCAAACTAGAATATTACCATGGTGATTGGGAAAAACAAAAAGTAATGTGTAATTTACAATTATCTCCTTCAATTGATTTTTAACGAATATTTAATAAAAAATAATATTTTGTTTCAACGATATTTTTATCTTTGAAGAAGATGAGCAAGTAAACGTGGTATGCGCTGTTGAGATACAGAGGTCGCCACATATCCGTTTGCTGAGTTATTATCAACGAACTCGGCAAAGTAGAGAACTATTCCAAATATTGTTGTACAATACTTACCATCAACTCAGTGAAATATGTTCAGTTGAAATATTTTGTTGAACTAGAGTTCGAATTGTAATAGTAACTTCAGGAAAGACGAGTGAGAATAAAAATGCAATTTGATATTAAAAATTAATTTTATTCCAACAAGTGAGATTCAGGATCTCTTATTCGGATTCACATTTTCCACGACAGCACGTGTCAGGGTTGTTTTTACGCTTGTGCAAAGCCCCGTGCTTGCCAACTGTCGCGACATGTCGCCGCGAAAAACAGTGATCGGTGATCGATGACATCGGCACTATACCAGGAAGCAATGGATAATGACGCGTGGCTTCGAGAAAAGGAAGGAAGCCATGGAAGATAGGAAGCAGAAAACCGGAATTGAGTAAGAAGAGGAATGAGAAAGAGAATGAGATAAGGACGGAGAAGAAAGAAGCCATCGAAATCCATGGATTCAAGAGGGGCACGTGTTTCAGGTGGCGTCTAATTGAGGATGGATGCCTCGGGCAACGGGTCTCGCTTCTCCGAGACTGGAGACTTGGAAGAGGCGTGCATTACTGCGGCAGATGGTGGTCGTGATTGCAGCTGCTCCGCAACGAACACCTGCCGTTTTCTCCGGCGTCTATCGAGATGGACGAAATCACTGTCCAGCCTCCTTCTAACCCTTCTTTTTCCTCAACTCCAGCTTGTATCCCTCTATTTTTTTCCTTTTTCTTTTCTTCTTCTATTACTATCACAAGTAGAAGAATGCATTCTGTCTGAAAAGGAACAGATGGAAATAGATATTAGATATCGATCGTTGTTTTCTCGCAACGATGCAAATGCATGTTTCCTCCTTCTCGATTGGTAGCGTTTTATCGAGCTAGAGGGAAAGTGATTTTGTCACGTAGAACTGCTAAGGAGAAGTGTCTTTTAAATATCACTGTCGCGAACGGCATAGCAAAAACCGGTCAGAGATGGCTTGTAGTTGGAGCTAGTCTGAGGAGTAGGAATTAATTCTGGCGAATAGCCAGAATGTACGGGCATAGGAAGTGAAACGCGAGACTGAAAGGACAGAGGCAAAGGGATGATACTGGCATCGAAGTAAATTCGGCCGAGACAGATTCACGCGGAAAATTGTGCGCGAAAATTGGTGCACCTTGTACCGGCTTGACAGCCGGAATAGACGAGCGTGACCACGATTTCTCCTGTCGGGGAAAGGAGTTAACGAGCTGTCAAGTGTCAGCCGAATCGAGTCCGTTCCGAGTCACCGATAAACGTCGATGCAGCATCGTCGTGGTGGTTCTTCTCCTTTGGTAGATGGTGCACCTTTCCTCTATCGTTCGGACTGTACCCCCGTGAGACGAGACAAGTCGAAATTTCTTTCGAACCGGGGGATATAATCGATTCGCCTTTCGTTGTGGCTCGATTTCCGCCAGAAGTTGGCGACGCGTAGCGAACAATAAGAGAGCGGTGACGGGATAAGAAAATGCAGGGAGGAGAGACAAAGATGGAAAAATAAGGAGGCAAAAGATAGGTAGCGCGATCGGATGGAGAGGAAAAAGAATGGAAAAAATTCCAGAGTAGTAGGCGGAGAATGGCGGTAAATTAAATACGGCAGCAGCCCGGAGGGGGTTCGTTTAATCGCTTAATCGAGACTCCAGAAATGCTCGCAGTGAACGGAGGCTCGCGCGCTTTTCGTTTCGTCTCGATGAAAGCACTCGAAAGGGTCGGCAATTACTTAAAAACGAAGTTGTGCACCATCATCGCCGCCGTTTTCTTTCTTCCTCATCGGACCGCGTCTTCCACGATTCCACCTCCTTTTATCTCGTCCACTTCTACGGTTGCTTTTACGTGGTTTTTCACCAAGCTATATCCGTCCGAGAGCTGCCTGGAAAAAGGTGGTCGCGACGCGGTAGCCAACCGTATGGACCGTCCTCTATTCGGATAACGACAGCAATATCCAAATAGTAAAACGGATGGCAGCCGACTCGAGGGCACGGCAAACACTCGAATAGTGGCTGGATCGATGAAAGGTACGCGAATCGCGGCAACCAGCGTAATAAAAGAGTCCGACCGCGTAAACGTAATCCACCTCCTTCCCCTCGAGCCGCCACCGGCTCGCTACTAACCACTAACCAGTCTCGTCCGTTTTCCCTGAATTCTTTGCGTTTCGAACGCGAACAGCGTGGCTGTTCAAATTTCCAGACTGCTGTGGCGATGACGTGGCAAAATACCGCTACAAAACGAAAATTGATGGGCGTTTTTTCGCATATGACGTACCTGGCGACCTGACGTCTCGAAAGATGTCGCGCCAAGTGAAAGAAAACGCTTCCCTTCTTGGGTGAACGAGCTGAGAGATGCTCACGGCCCTTGTCGTCGTCGTCGTCGTCGTTGTCGTCGTCGTCGTTGTTCATCCTTTCAGGACGTTCTTGGCTTCCGGCTGGAGAACGAGAGAATGGACCGGAGTGTCAGCGAGAACGGAGAAAGCTATGAGTAATAAGGAGGTCCCCTGCGAGACGGAAGAATATTTCGTCCCGGTCGCGACACGTATACCATAGTAGACGCGTAGACACGTAGCGTTCGTTGAAATCGAGGTTACGCGGCTTCGAGCAAGTCGCCGATCGATATTCTTATTCCAGCGACGATCGCGATGTTTGAACGTTACTCGACCATATCTATCCATTTCGACTGCTTCTCGGAGATTGATCGCAGACTGAGAAGGGAGAATGAAGGGAAAGGCGCGATACGGCGAATTACGCGTCCAAAAAATAGGCAACAATGAATCCTTAGCCGAGGCGTAAGAGCAGGTTTTTGCGAAATGATCGTCGAAAAGAGGACGAGGAGACGGCCGTGGAAAAGAGAATCAACGAAGGATAGGCGACCAGATGGAATCGCTGCTGCGCAGCGAATCTCGGTTCCGCGTCTTTTTACCGAGCAAAAAATCCTGGAAAAAGCTTAATGGAGCGTCTCTCGAGCAACGGAATGATCCGTAGACGAGAAGAGCTCGCGAGTTTTTCTCGCCTTCCAAATCGTAAGGCTGCGCGCTGCTACGGAAATCCCGCGAGAGGGGTCCAAGATTATCGCGTTCCCATAAAACGAACGACAATTCCCTCGACGGAGAGAAAGAAACGCACCGGAAATGGAGACAAAAGGAAAACGCTCGACTCGTTCCGACCTGACCGAGGGAAACGCTGTCCTCGAGGAATTTGTCGAATGGGAGAGACGCGCGCACGATGACGAATCCTTACTTCCGCTTGTACGCCTACGTTGAAGAGAAACGAGTTTACGAAGCGTTTGTTATCGCGACGAAAATATCAATGAAAGTATATTGATCACACGCAAGCATCTTACGGATAGACAGACAGACAGAGAGAGACAGAGAGAGAGAGAGAGAGAGAGAGAGAGAGAGAAGGATAGAGAAAGGGGAAGGAGAGAGAAAGAGACAGGAACAGAAATAGAGACAG